GTGGACCCCGAGAGCCGGGGGGGTGAGGAGGTGTGCTGGACTGGAGGACCCATCTGCAGCCCATGGATGTCCCCATGCTGGAGCTGAGAGCTGAGCCCAAAGAGGTCTGTGACTCTACAGGAAGCTCACCTTGGAACACTTTGATCCTGGGCTTTCAAGCCGGGAAGAGTGGCAATGGTGAACTGACTGTAACCCCTATTCCCTGTCCCCTGTGCTGCTGTGGTGGAAGGTAGAGAAATGGGGAGCAAAGTGATTTGAGCCCAGGAAGAAGGGAGGGGTGGGGGGAAGCTGTCAAAGATGTGGTTGTTATGTCTCACGGTGCTACTTCGATGAATGGCAACAAATCACATTGATTTTTCTTCCCCAAGTTGACTCTGTTTTGCCCGTGACCATAACTAGTGAGGGAGCCGTCCCTGTCCTTCATCTTAATCTGTGTCCCCTTTGTTGTGACTCCCTTTCCATCTCACTGGGTGGGGGGAATGAGTGCAGGACCGCATTGTCCTACTGTGGGTTAAACCACCACAAAGAAGTACTATTATAATGCTCTAACTTAACAGTTATACTGCTTCACACAACATAGCAGTTATGGATCATTCAAGCATTTTACCTTCATTTGTGTTTTCTTTCCTCCTTGCCCCCAGCTTGTTGAGTTGTGGGAGGAACTGCTTCCCTGAGAGCCTGCTGTGTTCCAGACTCCTCCCTCCTCCTCCTCTTCCCAGCTGGAATGACGCGTTCCTGTCACTGGCCCATCACTCTCTCCCCAGCCATCTTGCATAGATTTAGAACCTTTAGAAAAAGAAAAAAGCTCAAAATCAGTTAACAATACCATGCAGCTGGTGACTTGACACTGCAAGATTAGCTGTGATCTTCAGAATCCCAAAGGAGTGTGTGTGGGGGGTGGGAAGTCTTCAATCTAACAGCTGTAAAAACTTGTGCATGAATCCTAAAACTCATGAGATTCGGCAGCATGTTAGCATGTCATATTCTGCAATTTAAAATATTTCAAAGCAATGTCAAACCCTTAAAGATAAAATAACCATACAGATCCCTCTTCTTATACAGATACAGCTGCATTTGGATTTCTTCAAAAGGCAACCTATTATTTTCTAGTGCAAAAGGAAGACTTCAAGAACACTTAAAAACCAAGTGTGCCGAGAACTCTGGTTTGGGTTCCATTATTTCCTCTCTTCCTTCAAAACCACAACATTTCCCTTGCACTAAACTCTTTCACAAATTACAGAAACAAAGAAATTTAAAACATAACAACTAAGCAGAATCTGAATGAGAGGACCTTACATTGTACTCTGGTATATGTAACACTAAAAGCAGTTCAATGCAAAAAAATTAAAACCCTCTACTTGAATTTCTGTTCTTCACTATGTCACTAAAAAGAATTATTAGCAGTGCTGTTTAAGTAGAGATGCTGTTACCAGAAAGCTACAACCATTTCATCATACCAATTCATATTAAGGACACTTCCCTGTTGGCTTCTTTTCTTGCTGTTACTCTAGCACCAGCTGTCAGGCAACTTAAGAATTCTAACCTCTACTGACAAGCCAACAAGAGCCCAAATCCTCATCTTGTCCACTGTCCAACTGTTCTTTCTGCTGTAACCTCATTCTGCATATTTCTTCCCCAAGCATTTATCTCCTTTAAAAAGGTTTTCCATCACCATGACCTTTTTCACAATTAATTCTTCAATTGTCTAGCATTCGAGTGGGGAAATCGGGGATAAGAAAATCTGAATACAAAAAAAGTAGGAATTGTAATTAGTCTATCAAGGGGAACTCTACCTTGATCATGCCGAAAATAAGTACAGCAGCACTTCATAGCCATTTAAGAGCTACTTTAAAATCCATCATAAATAACAACTCAGATACTTCACAGGAAAGATAACTTTTTAAAGTATATTCATTTGTGCACCAAAATCAAGGGCTGCTTAGGAAAAATACTGGTCTAAGCACAAAAATCTACCTCTTGACCCTTTAATCATGCTACTTACACAGAAAAAGCTACATTTAAAGATTATGACTGCAGAGTCAAGAACTTAATCTGAAAGTGTCATACATGGGGTAGTCCCTGCAGCTTTAATTTACTTCTGGCTACAGAGTTTAAATATAGTAATATGATCCTGGTTTTAACTACATCACCATAAATTATTTTTCTGCATTGACAGCTCTCAGGTCTAAACTTCTTGAGCATGAATCTGGACAGCAGTGTAAAGATGACTTGTCTGTAGGATTCCCGCTTCATTTTCTGCATTTGTTGAGTCAGGTGGCACAAATAACAATAGTAAGCCAAAGAAACTTTCAAGATAAAGACAAAATAATGATGTTACAGAAAACTGAATTTATTCCTACTTCTGCCAGAGAATTCCTAAACTATGTAAATACATTTTTTGAAACAGGTGAGTAATGATTTACGCTTCCCTTCTTTGGCTCCAAACTCTTGTTTTCTTTACCAATGATCGCTAGTCTCCATTTCCTGTCCTTACCTTCAACCATAAATTAGGCCTTTGCAGGCTCTTTGTCCCAGTTTCTTCTTCCAACTTATCCAATACATTAAATATCTCCCCTTACTCCACTGAGTAACGTAGCTTTCTTCTTCATTCCTTCTGGGTGCCAATTAGAAAGGAGTTGAGAGAGCAGTCACACAATACAAAACTAAGATCTCGGCTCTTAACGCTGGTGACCTACTACACCTGAACCTGACATAGCTGTCACAGGGAAACTCCCTGTATTTTGTTCCTCTAGAGCTGTGGACAGCTTATGTACAAAATAGTACACACACACTGCAGCTCTTCGGCTATGTCAAACAAGCAGATCAGTTTGGACAAGCAAGGGACCATGCATGGTCTTTAAAGACCATCTTAAGTATCAACAAATCCATAGAATGGATCATTAGCATTTCAGAGGCTCTTATCTTGGTCATATTTAGGTGGCTTTTTACAGATGAAGGAAGAGATCCATCTAAGAAATATCTAGCCTCCTGAAAAGTGACAAGTTAGTGTGGCATGCACAGGAAGCACTACAGCCATCCATGAAAGGCTGCTATAATATTAACGCTAAGGAAGCGATGCTCATTTCCCAGTTCTTTTTCATAAATGGCCAAACTATTTAATTGAGGTGGGAGGAAAGGAGAATGACCCAACAGCATACAATCTTCATAGAGCATTTCATTCCAAACAATTACATGTTGCAAAAGCAACTTGTAACTGGAAACAGTTTTACAGCAGGTATCATCAGTCAAGTTTTAAGTAACAGTCATGCATTATCAGCATTTCCTACTGGGAAGTTCATATCCAAGTGTTACTGGTTGTGGCTATAACATTGCTATGTTGTATCAGCAGGTGATTGTTTTTGTTTGTTGTATTTTCCTTAAAAAGAGTGAAGTAAAAACTCTACAAACAGCTTACAACAG